TTCATACAGATATAGATTAAAATCCGATGCTTATCAGATAGCTTCCAGTATCTAATAGTAAATTGATTACAACTTGGAAAGATTTTGGAATGCCAAAAGAATTCTGAGATAAATTTGTTACTTATTTTATCAGTGAGAGAGATAACTAGGAATATTTTATTGTGTTACCTCATTCATTGCTCATGGGAAACTTGCACAGATGTCATGATCTTATTTTACTACTGAGAAATCCCAACCAAAGAGATTAAAGAATTCCCTAGACAGAGCTAATAAATGGGAGGGTTTAATTCAGTCCCAAGACTGATTTTCACTAATGACCTTTTATCCCCCAAAGTACCCCACCCACACCATCACTACGTTCCCTTTTGTAGTAAAGACTTTGGCCATGACATCGTAACCCATTACATGCATGCATACATTTAGATGATGGAAACGAAACTTCACAAAGTTCCTAATTTTTATTGACAATGACATTGTGTTGTACTTTGACTCTTTAAAAAATTATATATATATAATTTTATTATATATGTAATTTTATTTAAAATATATATATATTTTTATTGATTTTTTACAGAGAGGAAGAGAGAGGGTTAGAAACATCAATGAGAGACATTGATCAGCTGCCTCTTACACAACCCCTATTGGGGACGTGCTCACAACCAAGGTACATGCCCTTGACCGGAATTGAACCTGGGACCTTTCAGTTCTCAGGCTGACGCTCTATCCACTGAGCCAAACCGGTTTCAGCTACTCTCTTTTTTAAAGAACCTGCTCATTGTGACTAAATCCATACAATGACCCATTAGTAGGTCTCACTGATCTTTTGAAAGCTCTTGATATAAATGTGTTCTTTAGACATCTTGCAGTCTGCCATCCCATTATGAAAAGTGCGTATAGTAAATTTTACTGACAAATCACAGATGCGTGGATCAGCCACTGCAGGTCTTCTCAAGAATATGTTCCATTTAGTTTTGTTTTCTCTTCTTTGGTTCTTAGTACACTAATAGGAACTTAAATTTTTTTATTATTTAAAAAAGTATTTATTGTTGAAAGTATTACATAGGTCCTCCTTTTTCCTTCATTAACCACTTCCAACTCCCTCCCCACTGCCTTCCACCCCCCAGGCCCTCACCACCCATGGTCTGTGTCCACAGGTTATGCAGATATGCATATAAGTTCATTGGTTGATCTCTTCCCACCCACCCTCCTCTCTCTTCCCTCTGAGGTTCAACAATCTGTTCATGCTTCTAGGTCTCTGGGTCTATTTTTGATTATCAGTTTATTTGGTTCATTATTTCCACATGAGTGAGATAATATGATACTTATCTTTCTCTGATTAGCTTATTTCACTCAGGATAATACTCTCCAGGTCCACCTAAGCTTTTGCAAATGGTAAGAGTCCTTTCTTTTTTTATTGCTGTGTAGTATTCCATTGTGTAAATTTACCATATGGTTTTTATCCACTCATCTGCTGATGAGCACTTAAACTGTTTCCAAATCTTAGCCATTATACATTGCACTGTTATGAACATAGGGGTGCTTATATTCTTTCTAATGAGCATTTCAGGTTTCTTAGGATATATTCCTTGAAGTGGGATCATTGGGTTAAATGGAAGTACCATTTTTAATTTTTTGAGGAAATTGTTTTCCACAGTCTGTATTCCCACCAGTACTGTATAGGGTGTCCTTTTCTCCACAACTTTGTCAACAATTGTTGCTTGTTGATGACAGCCATTCTGACAGGTGTGAGATGAATTCTCCTTTTGATTTGCATCTCTCAGATGAGTGACTTTGAGCATTTTTTCATGTCTCCTGCCATCTGTGCCCACTTTAGAGAAGTGCCTATTTAGGTCCTTTGAGGATTTTAAAATTGGATTTCTTCCTTTTGTTAAGTTGTATGAGTTCCCTACATATTTTGGAGATTAACCCCTTATCAGATGTATCATTGGCAAATATGTTCTTCCATGTAGTGGGCTCTCCTGTTATTTTGTTGATGGCTTCTTTTGCTGTGCAGCTTTTTATTTTCATGTAGTCCCATTTGCTTATTTTCTCCTTAGTTCCCATTGTCCTAGGACAGTGGCCGACAAACTGCGGCTCATGAGCCACATACGGCTCGCAAGCCGCGTTTGTCACTCTGTTGACTGAGTTTGCTGACTACTATCCTAGATGTATCTGTAAACATATTGCTACGAGAAATGTCTGAGATTTTGGTGCCTATGACTTCTTCTAGGACTTTTATGGTTTCAAATATTACATTTAAGTCTTTTATCCATTTTGAGTTTATTCTTGTGTATGGTGTAAGTTGGTGGTCTAGTTCAGTAGTCGGCAAACTCATTAGTCAACAGAGCCAAATATCAACAGTATAATTATTGAAATTTCTTTTGAGAGCCAAATTTTTAAAACTTAAACTTCTCCTAATGCCACTTCTTCAAAACAGACTCGCCCATACCCGTGGTATTTTGTGGAAGAGCCACTCAAGGTGCCAAAAAACTGCATGTGGCTCGCGAGCTGCAATTTGTTGACCACGGGTCTAGTTCATTTTCTTGCATGTACCTGTCCAATTTTCCCAAGACCATTTATTGAAGAGACTGTCTCTGCTCCAATGTATTCTCTTGCCTTCTTTGGCAAACATTCATTGAGCCAAGTGGCTTGGGTCAATTTCTATTCTATTGGTCTGTATTCCTGTTCTTGCACCAATACCAGGCTATTTTGAGCACAGTGGCTTTGTAGTATAACTTGATATCTGGTATTATGATTCCTCCAACTTTGTTCTTTCTCAAGATTGCTGCAGCTATTCAGGGTCTTTTTTGGTTCCATACATTTTGAGTGTTTGTTCTAGGTCTGTGAAATATGCCATTGGTATTTTAATAGGGATTGCATTGAATCTGTAGATTGCTTTGGGCAATATGAACATTTTAATGTTGATGCTACCAATCCATGAACATGTTATATTCTTCCACTTTCTTATATCTTCCTTTTTTTTTTTTTTTTTTAAAAAACCTCATTATCTTTATTCCTAGTATCTTATTTTTTTTTTTATTGCAATGGTAAATAGGGGTTTTCTCTAGTTTCTCTTTCTGAGAGTTTACCGTTGGTGTTAAAAAATAGTATGGATTTTTAGGTATAAATTTTTAATAGGAACTTGATCTGCAGAAAAGATGCTAATATAAAACACAGTGCCTAATCATTAAGCCTATTTCCTTCCAGCCTCTTCTATCCATCCACCTTGTCCCTTGCTCTAGCCACCCCGCACCCCCCTCCCCATACCTCCACCCCATCTCACTGCACACTTCTCTATACATGCGGTTCGAGCTGTACACTCCAGGATTCTCCTTGCAGAGGTAAAACCCAGGCAAAATGCTGACATTGTTAGAATTGAGTTCTTCCCTGATAGACTTTCTTCCACTTCGCCCTTATGTATGGCATAATCTTGACTACACATTTTGATTTTTTAAAGATGCTTGCAGACATTCCTTTAGAGTTTAATATAGTATCAATGCACATATGTGTACTTCAGTGTAAATCTGACCAAGAAAAGGCTTTCAGTACTCTTATTGACAAGCAAATGAATCTTAGTATTAAATCATACTTTTTTGGGGGGTACCTAAGAAAGAAAAAGGAAGGTGGTTTGTTCAGTGAGTACCTTATTTCTAGAGCTCTATTTAAATGTTTATTTAAACCAAATAATATGGGTGGGCCTTCCTGTGAATAGCCAGTGAAATACCAACATGTAGAACACATTTCATGAATGTCCCTAAGTTGAACACAAATATCTATTGTAGGGACATTTATTATGAGCTATAGAAAGAAACTAAAGCAAAACTATTTCTCTAATTCAGTATTTTTGAAAAATTTAAAAAATGTTTTTATTTTAGAGAGGAAAGGAGAGAGAGAGAGAGAGAGAGAGAGAGAGAGAGAGAAACATCAATAGTCAGAGAGACTCATTGATCAGCTGCCTCTTGCATGCTTGCATGTTCCACACTGGGGATTGAGCACAAAACCCAGGCATGTACCCTGACCAGAATAGAACCATGACTTCCTGGCTTATAGTCAATGTTCAACTATTAAGCCATGCTGGCCAGGCTCTAATTGAATATTTTAATTGATGTCAAAGCATCTTAATGTTGATTTGTATAAGAGTAATTTCATTAATTTTAGAAGAAATAGTTCTAAAAAGTATCAGTTATGCTACTAGAATTAAATTGAAAAGGGAGTTAACTCTTGGATTAATTTATTGAAGCACTTATGTAATCTTTTTCATATCCACTTAGGTACAAAACTTTTATAAGAAATAATAACATTTTATTGCATTATATAATTTTGTATTTTACAGTCATAATGCAAACCCATAAGCATAAATATACAAGATAAACCAATTAGCAATGTAACTATTAAAAGATTTAAAACATAAAACTAGAATTAACAGGCAAAATACTTAGTAATATGGCTTTTAATGGAAAGTAATTGCTTAGAAATGATAGTTATTGCCTCATTTTAAGTTATTCCTTATCAATTGAACATAAAATTATGATCTCCATTTAAAATGGTACTTTATCGAAGCCAACACTGTACACATTTTGTGACTTTTAGGATGCAATATGATTCCTTGACTTTCTTAAATATATACATATTTATATATACATATTTATATGTACATATACAGGTATACAGTACACACAGTTTTGTTTTAATACTCCCTGAACATGTTGGTTAAAACTATTACAATAATTCTATTATAAAACTACTTGGAAAGTTGGCATTGCTTCTTGATATTGAAGTTCAATCTTACAGAAATGAAAAAAAAAGCAACAAAATATTGGTTATAAATACATTCTTTACAAAAAATTGAATAGTGGTCCTGCACTCATACTTAAAATAATAGTGAAAATATTTTATTCATTTAAAGGTATTTACATCTTGTTGTCCTTGGTTTCTGTTTGAAATTTACAGAAGAGTGAGAATATTGTAGGCAGGCCTATTTGTTAGGTTTTTCTGTGTGTTCATTTTGTGTGTAAGTTCCGAATCTTGTTTTTTGAGTTGTTGTGTATTTCTATTTGCCTTGTATTACTGCTGCTGCTGCTTCTTTTGGTGTTCTGGGAACACTGTGTAACGTTACTTCTAGGAACAGGAAGGAAAGATTTAACTCTTAAAACACCCAACTCAGTCTCTGATTTACTGTTGCTGCATTCGATGGTTTGATGGCTGCTGAGAGGACTGACCTCCTGTAAGAGAAAAGAAACAAGAGAAATTTGTCACATTTGACACTGTCACCAACTTTTCTTACCAGTCGGAACGCTTTCTCTCCCCTCTCTCTCTGAGGGCTCAGGAAAGAGCTTCTCCCTTCATAAAGTTCTCATGAAAAAAAAAAGGAAAGATAGCCGAAACCGGTTTGGCTCAGTGGTAGAGCATCGGTCTGCGGACTGAAAGGTCCCAGGTTCAATTCCGGTCAGGGGCATGTACGTTGGTTGTGGGCACATCCCTGGGAGGGGGTGTGCAAGAGGCAGCTGGTCGGTGTTTCTCTCTCATCGACGTTTCTAGCTCTCTATCTCTCTCCCTTCTTCTCTGTAAAAAATCAATAAAAATATATTAAAAAAAAGAAAAAGAAAAAAAAAAGGAAAGACAATGGACAGAAGCTGAAGGATTAACTTCCTACAGATTTCCATCAGGTCCTTTGTGCTGTCACAGAGATACAGGAGTCAGCGGGTCAAGTGCTGGAGTCTGGGATCTCCTCACCAGCAGGAGCTTCACAGAAACGATCAACTGGGACCCACTATTGATATGCGGCCCTACCAATCACCTCTGTCTTCTGAGGGTGTCGCCTAACTTCTCTGCTTTCAGATCTGTGAACTGAAGCCTGCCTGCTACTCAATAATCCGCACATGTTTTTTGAGCATTTCACTGTCAGCTGAGCACCGGACTCGGCGCTGGGCACTCAGGTAGCGATCGCAGAGAGAAATGGCCTTGCCCTAATGGAGGGGACATCATGATTTCCGCTCTGGCAGCAACCCCACGACTCGGTGCCTCCAGACCTCCCAGGCTTGCCCTCGTCTTTCCAGTGTCTGTTGCAGAACCCTCATGGGTATGGGCCATGGTCCACATCGCTGTTTGCCCAGGAGGGAACGGAGAGCTGGAAAGGTAAGACTGCCTGTCCACGGCCACAGAGGGATGACGCTGGGACAAGGCCTCCGGTGCCTAACGTTCACCCAGGGTGTCTGCCCTGCGGTGTGTGCAGTCTGCCAACCAGCCAGCGTGCAGGGAGCTGCTAGGTAAGCCGTCCCAACGGCCCCTGAAGCAGTTGACACTCATTACTTTCCCTGGTTTTAAGTTTAAAAGCAATAACACAACCAAACAGCAAGGCCATCTTTAAAAGATTTACCAGGTAAAATACTTAATGGAAAGGAATAGTTGGGCCTGAGCTGAGAGTTGGGTTCTCCTGTGTGTCTTCTGAAATCTGTAAAATGTGACTTAGTTGTGGGCCTAGTAAGGCTCATTCCAATTTGTAAGTTGGTCTAAAACACCAGCAAATTCAGCACACAGAGCATTCAGAAGACAAGGCACGTTATAATATGGCTAGATAGCGGTTGGTTGGTATACAGAGCCCGTAAGGAAGAGTCGTGGGTGTAACTATAGATAATTTTGCTACCATCTTTGACCTCCCTCTGGAAGTCAGAGGTAGTGCCAGGGCCCCAGGAGAGGGCAGGCACACAGTGTGTCCTTGTTTCCTCTTCATCTACATCATGAGGTGGAGGTGGGACGGGAGGGGGGTAAGAGTGCACTTTTATGGTCTGAGGCAGGAAATGCCCCGTGAAATGAGGTACCAAGAAGCACCCACAACTGGAAATGCGATTTGGGTGAAGCCGGGCACAGGAATGCGGGTCTGCATCAGTCCTTGGAGGTGTGAGGACTGAACAGGAGGTGTGATGAGAGCGCGGAGAACCCCTGGCTTAGGGAGGCCATTGAGTCTGTTCAAGCTGAGCGTGTAAGACCAGAACCCAGAGCCGTGCTCCTACACTCTGGCAGCCGAGCACGGGTCTCGAGGTGTTTTCCCCAGAGCTAAGAAGAACCAGAGCCCAGGACCAGGAAAGTTAAGGGTGTTTAATGCTTCCTGCACTAAAACCCAAGTTCTCTGTGTAAAACGTATAAAGTTTCTGTCAATGCTCACTAGAAAGGCACGGTCCATAAAGAGCCTTAGTGAAATACTGTTAAATCATTCATTCATTCATTCAATACTGAGCATCTGCTGAAGGCACAAGGATGCTATAATTGCTGCTGTCTGGAGGGGAAAGTTGGGGGCAGAAAGTAAAGGAAATGCTGTAGGACAAAGGGCATGGCGATGATGCTTCGAGGACTTATAGGGCTGTGCCAGGTGAAGGGAAAGAGTTCCCTGGGAAGAAGGGTAAGCAGACATGGAGAAGTGTAGGTGTGGGAAGAGTAAATTACAGGTAGAAGTAAGTCATGAAGGTATAGCGACCTTTCTAAAGATGCGCTGGGGAGGAAAGGAATGGGGGTGGGAAATAAGGAGAACAGATTAGAGCTTTGCTTCAGAGCCATGGATCCAACCAAGCCTCAGCCGCATGTAAGAGTCACCAGGGAGCTTGAATAAAACCAGGTCCTCAGACCAATTATATCAGAACCTTAGGGAACCCGGTGGGCACTGGGGGTTAAAAGCATAGCAAGTGGATTTCCTTAGGAAAGCCGCTGTAAGAACTTTTGCTTTAGGGGGATTTATTTGCATTTTCAGGAGAAGAAAGTAATTGTTAACATATGCTCGTTCTATTGATGATTTAAATCTCTGTATGTAAGAAAAATTTAGAAGGGTAGCCAACATGCCACACAACTAACGCAGCCCACCGTGCTCTTTGTCGGAGCAGTAATGAGTTATATCAGATGAGCAGTAGGAGGGTGATTCACTCATTCATGTCTTTCTGCTGTGTGGCCACCATTATACACTGAAACAATGGCAAGCAAGCCAGAGAGCTCTTCTGAAGGGAATTGCTTTCTGATAACAGAAGAAACTGGGCCTCTGACCAAGAAATGCCAGCTGAGGCTACAAAGGGGGTGAGCCTGCCAAGCGCTACTCTGCCCTCTGCTGGCAGGTTCTGAGAAGCACATGTTCCAGCCATCGGGGAAGTCATTCCAAATGTGGTCTGTGGGTCACTGCCCTAATGCCCACATTAAGTCACATTTAAACAACCACATGGTTCTTATATATATAGATAGATATAAATATATATATATATATACTCTCCAGAGAGTATATATATATATATACTCTCCAGAGAGTATTAAAAGGATATATACTCTCCAGAGAGTATATATATATATATATACTCTCCAGAGAGTATTAAAAGGATACTCTTCAAAACATACCCCTTTTAAAACAAAGCTTTCCTGTGCTGCCCAGAACTTATCCCACTTGCAGTACCATTTTTTATGGAGAGTACCTTACAGCATCTGAACAGGGTCATGTGACAGAGGCACAAAACTGAGTCTGCATTAGTTATGTAAATAGAGGCAGCCGGTCACTACCAGTCAACATGCTTATATGGAAAGTGACGTGGCCTGTGGAGAAACAGCAACTCCTTGCTCCTCTTCCTAGACCTGCCTGGCTCCTTCCTCTGGCTATTGCACAAGGAATCCTAAAGAGGGGGCCGGGACCACCCGGAAATGTGCTCTCAGCCAGCGCTCGGGGACAGCTCCTGAACAACATATTTCCAGCCGGGATTCTCAGCAGTGCCTCCGGCCACCTCCTCAGGTCACCCTTCCTCCGTGCTCTCCAAATCAAGCTTTGGCCGTGCTTCCAAACTGTTCCCAAGTGAAGACAAAGAAAAAGGCAGACAGATGATGAGGTGAGCCAGAAAGGACGTGTTTGTCTTTACAGGTCATCGTGTTCTGCATTTTTGTGTGGGACTCAGCCTTGCCAATACCTCCTGGCACCCACCGCTTCCCCCAGTGCACACAGCTCACATAGCTGTACATATCACTCATCAGGACGAAGCCTAGTGAAGCAGGGAGAACAGGGGCCCAGGCTGCCAGGCGATCAGAGAAGGATTCCTAATGGGACAGTCTCACCGCCCTCACTCTATATTCCCGCGCTCTGCACTCCCCCGATAGGCCTCTGGAAGCCACTGGGGGTGGATGAAAACAGGGTGTGAGCCACATAGTACTAAATGCCTCTGCAAGACCTGCGCAGCCCTCACACACCAGCTCCTGGCTAAGCAATAGTTTATTGTTTCTGTTCACCAAGGAGTACCATGCTGGCCTGCCTCTTGGAATTTATTAACCAATTGTGGAAGTTATTTAGAGAGTTTGATGATGAAGTCTTTTGGAATCCTGGCTCTTCTATGTCACATCCTGACTTGTTTTTAAAGGAAAGTCTCTTCAATGAAACATAATGCAAGTACGGGCAAGTTAAGAAAACTAAGCTAAAAATAAGATTTTTTAAGACATATAAAATATCTTTATATTAATTGCTCAGCCCTTTGCTGAAATAATTAACTTCAAAATTCTAAAATGTAAGAAATCATAAAAGTTCTTAAATGAAAAGAAAAATAATACATTTTAAAATGAAGCAACCCAAATGAAAACAAATGAAGACCTTCTCAAAAGACACTCCCCATTTTGGAATATGATTTTAGGTTATCAAACAGAAATTAACAAAAAGCACTGCGGCCCTGGCCAGTGTGGCTCAGTTGGGTTGGCATGTCCTCCCATACACCGAAAGGTCAGGGGTTCGATTTCCAGTCAGGGCACACACCCGGGTTGCTGGTCTGGTTCCCAGTCTGGGCAGCAACTGATCAATCTTTCATTCTCACATCGATGTTAACATGTCTCTCTTCCCATTTCTCTCTCTGAAGTCAATAATAAAAAAAGCATGTGCCCTAGTTGGTTTGGCTCAGTGGACACATTGTTGGCCTGTGGACCAAAAGGTCCCAGGTTTGATTCAGATCAAGAGCAGATTGCAGAGTCCAGGGATGCTTTAAGGAGACGTGATAGTCCAGGAAACAACCCTACAAGGACAAGGGTATCTGGGTTGCAGGTTCCGCCCAGGCCCAGGTCAGGGCTTGTGCAGGAGGCAACCATTGATGTGCTTCTCTCACTTCAATGTTTCTCTCTGTCTTTCCCTCTCTCTTCCATTCTCCCTAAAAAAACAACACAAAAACAAACAAACAAACAAAAACAACCAAACAAAAAAGCATGTTCTCAGGTGAGGATTAAAAGTAATGCTTCTCTGGTCATTCTTTCACGTTATTATCTAAACAGTAAGCTTTAACAACTTTGCTTAATGAATTAACATATTGACCACTATCCTATTTCTCACTTCATAGCTGTGGTTTAAAAATAACTTTGTGATTTGCATCGAAAGAAGGTTTGGGAAGTCAGTTCCAAAGCTCTCCATGTTTGTCTGACTTGGGGGGAACATGAACACTTACCTTTTGTGACACTGGCATTCTCAGATTATTCACAGGTGGTGAAAATGTAGAGTTGTTTCCTGGACTATCCAATCTCCTCACACCATCCCTGCACTCTGCAATCTGGAAAACATACTATTAACCAAGCCGTGTTTTCACAGTGATCCTGTAACACACAAGGCACAGTCTAAAGTCACTGGAAAAGCAGAAGTGTTATCTTTCTCTCCTTTCAGCTCTGGACAGGAGCACTACAGGATGTACCCTCAAGTCCCGTGCTGCTCACATGGCAGACTTGAAGCCTTCATGTGAGTTCACAGCAATGAGAAACATTCCCTTAGGGAAGAGCATCTACTTAAGTACAAAAATGACCTAATGAGCCCTCAAGAAAAATAAAACCACTTGGCAAAAAACCGAAAGGATATAAAAACTGCAACATTTTAATCGCGACCTTATTTTGCCAGGGCATAGGTATTTCAGTCATTGTCAGCAAAGTTAAATAGGAGAGTCAATTCTACTTCGGCCTAGAGATTACAACTCACGAAATAGAACATTCTGAGTCTTCCGGTGGAAGCTGCACAGGTGATGCTCCCTCTCAAACTGAAGGCATTTATCAAGGAACTTGGGTCCAGTCCGCTGCAGGGATCAGTGTGCAGAAACAGGCTGCACTTTGTGCCATTAATGCCTTCTTTCCGATTCTGGGTCCCTGACACCTTTTCATCCTTACCTTATTTTACCAGGGCATAAATATTTCAGTTCGTTTTCAGCAAGGTTAAATAACAGAGTCAATTCTACTTTTGACCTAGAGATTACAACTCATGAAATATAATAATAGTTGGGTCTTTATAACATTGTAATTAACTGGTAATAAGTGAACAGAAGGAACAAGGGAAGGCCAGTTTTATAGGAATGACACTTGAGCAGCTTTGCCAGGAAGCTGCAGCTTCACACGCGCCCAGGAAAGTCTGGGTGACTTAGGGAAATACTTGCTTGTTAGTCACACCTGGGAACAGGTCATAGGCTGAGAAGACTTAAGATATTTAATCTTCTAAACAAAGGAGTTTGCCCTCTTGCTCTTGGTTTGTAAGCTTTTCCTTGCTTGCCCTTGACTCCTGGCTTGTGGGACTCTCACGCTCCTGCACTCACGCACGTGGCTCAGGGCCATGTGGACCCCTACAATGGACTAATGGGCTGCAGCCATAGACCCAGCTCCGCCACGGAGCGGAAGCTCTGGACGCTGGCTTTGCTTCTAGCTCTACTGAATCCCCACCTGCACCTTTTCCAGGACTAGATTAAGGAAGTGGGACTTTGGAAAAGACGTAACTCTTATACAATACAAACAAAGAACACTTGTCCTCCTGTATGAGAACCAAAGTTCTTTTTCTTGAGATGATAAGGGCTCTATTCCTGCTAGCAACAGAGTACGGCAATCCACACATTGCTCTGATAACAACAGGGCACACCATTTATTGGGCTATAACGAGTAGCTAGTATGTGATTAACCAAATCATTCTTTACTCAAAATTTGTAAGCCGCAATAATCAACAATTCTCTAAGAGCAATAAGGAAATAAATATTATCACTGTAAACATTTAACATCTGAAAGCAAATGTTATGTTTCTGTAAATCTAGCATTAAAAAAATCAGTGAGAGATAATGTATGTAAATAGTGGTTCTGACAAAGGTTTAATCTCTAAAATATAAAAAGAACTCATAAAACTCAATACCAAACAAACAACATAATCAAAAGTAGACAGAGGACTTGAAAATACACCTCTCCCAGGAGACACACAAACAGCCAATAGACATAGGAAGAGATGTTCAACCTCACTGGCAATTAGGGAAATGCAAATCAAAACTACAATTAAATGGCCCGGCTGGTGTGTCTCAGTGGTTGAGCATCAATCTATGAGCCAGGAGGTCACGTTTTGATTCCAATTCAGGGCACATGCCCAGGTTGAGGGTTTGATCCCCAGTAGGGGGCATGTAGGAAGCAGCTGATCAATAATTCTCGCTCATCATTGATGTTTCTATCTCTCCCTCCCTTCTCCTTTCCTCTCTGAAATAAAAAAAAACCTACAATAAGATACCACCTCACACCTGTTAGAGTGGCTATTATCAACAAGACAAGCAATAGCAAGTGTTGGAGAGGTTGTGGAGAAAAGGGAACCCTCATTCACTGCTGGTGGGAATCTAGACTAGTGCAGCCACTATGGAAAGCAGCATGGTGGTTCCTCAAAAAATTAATAGAGCTACCACATGACCTAGCAATCCTTTCCTAGGTATATACCTGAAAAACTTTAAATCATGTTTTCACAAAGATATATGCACCCCTATGTTCATTGCAGCATTATTCACAGTGGCCAAGACATGGAGACAACCAAAGTGTCCCAAGCTAGAGGATTGGATAAAGAGGATGTGGTCCATATACATCACTACTCAGCCTTAAGAAAGGATGAAATAGCACCATTTGCAACAACAGGGTTGGACCTTGAGAACATTATGTTAAGTGAAGTAAGTTAGAAAAAGCTAAGAACCATATGATTTCACTCACAGGTGGGATGTAAAACTGAGACTCCTGAACAAGAACAGCAGCGTGGTGCTTGACAGAGGGAAAGGGATAGGGGCTCCTGATATAAAGTGACAGGGGAAGATTTGACCTTGGGGGACATATCTAATACTTTCAATAATAAAGATTTTTTTAAAAATCCAACAGGTTTCTGATGATTAGAGCAATGAAAAAATTAGATATCAAATGGAAACTGGAGGAAAATGGAGCAATCAGCCTAAAATTCCAAATGAAAATTATTTCCAACCCACAAACATATACAATATCCTGATAACATAAACTAAGAGTGGAATCATAAAAAAAAAGACATGTCTGGTCTTAAAAAACAATGTACCTCCCAAATTTGTATCTTCAATGACAGCAACCACAGATACTATCTAAAATGGGTAAATGAAGGAACAGCAAGCATATGCCTTTTATTCAGAAACAGAAATAAATTCTAGGGGGAATAAAACACTATTAATTCATAAATGGTTTGCTTTTTGGGATAAAACTCAGTGTTTGTTCTTTGGGGTAAAAATCAGCTGAGGAAGGTGGGACAACGGACAGTTGTAAAAAAAAAAAAATCAGTCATCTAAAATCTGCTTAAAATTTGGGAGATACATTGTTTTTTAAGATCAGACATGTCTTTTTTTTATGATTCCACTCAGTTTATGGTAAAACACAAGATTTTACCATATCTTTATGCCAAAGTTTGATAAAAATGAAGCTAATACTACTATTTCTAATCTTTTTAACAAATTGCTTTAAAATTATATTAATAGTATAATAGTTCCACAACTAAAATGAGAGTGTGTATTGTTTGCTCTGGGTTAATCTGGAAGGGGAACTTACTTCTGTTTTGACAGAGAAGCATTCCTGTTATAATTCAGCTGTGATCTAGCCATGTTTTTGATACCTGCAAGGTAAAATGTAATTATTTCAATGGCATGAATCCTTGTCCCTGTGCATCTTGAGCTCTGTATTTGGAAGAAACAGACCATGGTCTGTACCTCTATACTTTTTATTCTTTTTTTTTTTTTTTAACTGAATCTATCTCCTGAGAAGTTTTCAAACAATTATGTAAAAAACCCTACCCCAAATCAACCCTATATCAAGTGCAATTATTGGGAAACAAATTTGTTATAAAAAAAATACAATAAACAAAGATATGTCAATCTTTGGTTCATTCATCTAATCATGATGTGTGGTTAAAATTCAAGGCCCATGAATTTCACTGTGTAAAATTAGTTTAAAAAAATCTTTATTATGGAGCATATTACAGATGTCCCCTCTGTCCCCCCCAGGTTGCAGGCTTGATCGCCAGTAGGGGGTGTGCAGGAGGCAGCCAATCAACGATTCCCTCTCATCATTGATGTTTCTCTCTCCTCTCTCTTCCTCTCTGAAATCAATAAAAAAAAGTTTGTTTAAGAAAGAAGTCTGGATGGCTGTTTACTTATCTGGGTGCCTATGGATTATGACATGTGTCACAGGATCAGACTGTCAGAAAACAGCACTGCGCTGGCAACAAACAAAAACATGGATACAGAACTCTCTCCAGGAGAGGGGTTTTTAGCAGGCAGCCAAGGGTTTCTGAACCTCCTTCTTATCTGTAAATGGAAGTAATAATCTCATCTTAGAACTCCTTTTTATGCTATACTGGGATAAACAAGTAAAAGGCATAATTCTTGCTGCAGAAAGTTCCTTGGGGAATCTCTGTGGTATATTGGGGGACTGGAATCTAATGAGTTTATTCCCTGACTGAAACATTCTTTGGGAAGTAACAACAAGATCTTGGGATTAGAATGTGTCCTATTATCAATGCATAAAACAAAAAAGTGTAAGTAAAAGTCTCATTTTATTCAGTAACTTTCTATCCAATCACTTTTTTTATTGTCTAAAACTTTACATAAATCTTTTTCTTTAAAAAAAAGGTTTTATTGATTTTAGAGAGGAAGGGAAAAGGAGAAGAAGGAGAAGGAGAGGAAGAGGGAGAGGGAAAATCAATGATGAGAATAATTGATTGGCTGCCTCCTGTATTTCCCCTATTGGGGATGGGATGGAGCCCTTGACTGGAATCGAACCTGGGACCCTTCAGTTCTCAGGCTGATGGTCTATCCATTGACCCAAACTAGCTAGGGCTAAGTCTCCCCCCTTCTCCCCCCCCCCCCCCCCGCCACCACCCCCAACCCGCACCCCACCCAGCCATTCCCATCCCAGGCACTGCCCCAGTGTCTGTGTCCATTGGTTATCATTGGTTATTCTAATATTCATGCATACAAGTCCTTTCATTGCTCTCTAATCCTTATCCAATCACCTTAAAAAAAAAATCACAATTTGCCGGGACCAGTTTGGCTCAATGGATAGAGCGTCGGCTTGGGGACTGAGGGGTCCCGGGTTCGATTCCGGTCAAGGGCGTGTACCTTGGTTGCGGGCATATCCCCAGTAGGGGGTGTGCAAGAGGCAGCAGATCGATGACTCTCTCTCATCGATGTTTCTAACTCTCTATCTCTCTCCCTTCCTCTCTGTATAAAATCAATAAAAAAAAAAAAAAAATCACAATTTCCTCACACACAATTGGGATAATAAAACTCTAGCATGTATTACTATAGTTAAAACCATATTAAATTTTTTTCTTAAAAATCAACAAAACATAAGCTAAACTATAAAAATATATTAGTGAATGAAATGTTTTAAATTTTAGGCAGCATATCCTCCTATTTAGCAACCCTGCTACTGTACAGTTGGCAATATAATGACACCAAACAGGATAGCTGCATGTGGCTCCTCAAGACCTAAGCTGAATTACATGTGTCAGACACCCACCGAGCCCATGAGGTTAGAACATCTTTTCATTCTTTTTCAAATATGGATTTTCTTTAGGGAGAACATGTATAATTTGTATAATAACTCATCAAAACCAAAAGAAAGAGGTCTTCCAGCAGAGATAAATGGGTTATCTCTTCTTTGTTAGATGAAAACTTAGGTATTTCTTTTTTATATGTGACATCCCATTATACACAGTCTGTTTATTGATTCATTAGAATGTTAACTCAATGAGGGCAGGGATTGTTGCTATGTTTTGTATTCTATTTCATCGACTAGAATGGAACTGGGCAAATGGTACACATTATATATGAAAAATAAATATGTAAATCAATCCTATGTAATAAAGAGATAATATGCTAATTGCCCATCACACCCTCACAAAAGATGGCGGCACCCACAGCCAATAAGGAGGGAATATGCTAATTGACTACCATGTCCTCAAAGATGACAGCATCCACAGCAACAAGATGGCAGTGCCCAGTTCTGCCCCCAGGAGAGTCTGGCCACTCTGTGCGCCTGCCTCCGGAGTCCCCCAGTTCCCTTAGCTGCCCAGGGTCACCCGAGGCTCAGATAACCAGGATCGGCTGAGGCTTGCACTGCCAGCAGTGGCAGCAGCAGAGGTGTGATGGGGGTGTTGCCCTCCCCTGATTGCTGGGTCACCTCTTACCCCTGAGGGCTCCCGAACTGTGAAAGGGGGCAGGCTGGGCTGAGGGACCCCCCTCCAGTGCATGAATTTTCATGCATCAAGCCTCTAGTTCACATATAAAGATCTTATCTGGTATCAAATATGTCTGCATGCATACTTAAAACAAGTTAAGGTTGGCTTAGGGGTGACACGTACAAGGAAAGAAATATGCCAAAGTGCAGTTATTGCATTATAAAAATTTAAGTGCGGACACCACAAACATCAAATAATTTTTAAAAAGATCATTAACACAGTAAAGATAAATTTAATATCAGAATTCTAGTATGAAAAATTATTTTCAGGAATGGGCTCCAAAATATTTTTGAAAATGTACCCACTACATACTTTTTTATTCTATGAAAATGTGCTTTGAGATACTCAGAATTTTGTTGAATGCACAGCGAATAAAAGAATAAAAACACATTTCCATTCAGAAACTAGACCCCAGTGCCCTGGTACCCCTTGACGGAATGCCTGCCCTCTCTTACCTTTCTCACTCAGGACTGGCTTCTGCCAGGTGGCTGCAGAGAATCAGCTGGACTTTTGTGAGGACGGGTGCTCACCTTTCTCCAGGTACCTCTCTCTCCGTTCTTCTGGCTATAACTGTTGTAACTTGAAACTAGGAACAGAGGGAAACCTCCTCCTTTGAAATCAACTGCATGTTGGAGTAGCTCTGAAAAAACACAAATCACGTTTTGCCAAAAGGAAGGTAGTGATAATGCAGTTTCATAGAGTCAAGCAAAGTTCCCAAAGAAAGGGAATCTTCAAAATCATGGGCCTGCTTAACACCCAAGCAGGGATTCTGTGAACCAGTAACTTGACTTGGAGGTCTACAATTTAAACATGAGCCAGTAATCACAAGACAGAGAGACAGTTCTGGGATGCAATGGTGTGAAATGTTTATTAGTGCTTAGGTAATTTCTCCATTTACAGGGAGGAAAAACAGAGCTCCCCAATCAGGAAGTAAACAAGTTCCACCTAAGAGTGTGAGTCTCCTCTCCTCCCAGCAGGAACCCGCATACCTGCTCTCTGGAGGGGACAGCCGTGCAGAACAGCTTCATTGAGCAAGATGCTGAGAGCAGTGTTCACCACCGTGTGCTGTCCTCGGCTAAGGTGCTTCTGAGCAGCTGTTTGCACAAGGCCAGGTTGTTTTTTCACAGAGGCTCTCGATAATACTGCTTCTTGAACTCTGGGTGCGATGACAGCATTCCACAGCTTAGACATCCACCCTGCAAGAGAGGGGTGGACCCCTAGTTAGGACAAGGCCTTGCAGGAATTATACACAACTCTACAAAGGACAGTTGGAAGGCCATAAAAAAACAAAACAAAAAAACACGTTAAGTATTTCTAAAGATATGCTCCATTTCCCAGGTAAGTTCTGGGACAAGCGTAATGATCTAACCTCAAAGTGGTTTGATTTTGCATCATAAATACAATGCATTTCAAAGGAAACTGACTATTTACATGTCCTTCTCCTTTTACTTTATAAGATTCTTGTCATCAGAAATTAATGCCAACTGTGCAATGGATAAATGCATGAATAAAAACATGGAAAGAGATTTGATTTTAGATTGGGTAAACTCACAATGCAATATACAGATGTTGTATCATAGAACTGTACACTTGAAAACGATATAATTGTATTAACCAATGTCACCCCAATAAGTTAAATAAAAATATGTTTTAAAAGAAAATAATTGGAAAGAAAGGTAAACTTATAGACAGAAGAAGTCTGGGAAAAAATAGGCCTGAAGGTCTGTGTTTAATTGCTAAAACTTATTTGCTTTATTTCCTTAATATCACACACATATTTTTTATTTTAATATTTCTGAAACTGGGATCCATCTAACAATCACTGGCAAATTATATCTGCCTGCCCCTGGGCTCAGTCTCTGCAAATGGGTGGGCTTAGTCCTGCAGAAAGGGGACGGGTCAACCAGCCTCAGGCGGACCTTTGCACTAAGGACTGAAGCAGTGGAACAAGTTTGGAGTAACTAATTCCAATTAACATTCCTTCAAAAACAGGTTATATTTTGTTGTAGCCTTAATTGATTAAGGTTATAGAGCCCAAACCACATCTCCTAGAAGAGGAAAAATTTCAAAGCTTTTTGAGACTGTTAAAGCTTACCCAAGTATAAAGCATTTGTCTATCATAAGCTTCTCTGTTACTGCCTGGTGATATGTAATTCAAGGGGGAAAAAAACAAACAATACAGAATATAGAAAAAAAAATCAGGTATTCAACCACATGAGTCAAACTAGCACAGTTACTTCTAAAAGTGCTAAAGGGGTAAAGATGATAAATTGTTTTGTTTTAATGAACAGTTCTTTCATATGGCTGCTGGGAGACATTTCTCCATGACACACCTTCATGATGTATGTCAGCTTTGTTCAGGACTATCTTCCCAAGGATGTCAGTAGAGCACGCAGCCTTGGAAGACAGAGCCAGTGTCTCCCGGAGCAGTGGGCCAGGATAACAAAAGGAATGCATCCTTCCAGGGCAGAGAGTGGGCAGGTCTGACAACACCAGCGTTAGAAGCCTGGGGATTCCCAAGCTGGGGGCTCTGCAGCTGTGGCTCCTGCAAGGCCAGGACCTGCCTGGATCCCTGTGCATCGCCCGGGGGACTGGAGGAGCTAGGGGGACCAGTGAAATATGGAGCCCAGGCCGGGCTGCGTTGTGAGGGATAAAGTCTTAGGCCTCTGACTCCGAACCCTGAGCCTGTGGCAGAATAACTTGTTAGCTTGTTAGATTCAAATAGGGTATGAATCTCAGAGCCTTGACAGTTCTGATAGGAAAGGCCGAAGTTGGCTCCTAAGAATCTCCAGACTCTGGATGTGAAAGGCTTAAATGTAATTGTAATATTGATGAAAATGGGCATAATTAGAGGAATAAGTGTATTTTTGCTCTTTTTTTGCAAATCCTCACTTTAGGATATGTTTACTGTGTTTCAGAGAGAGAAGAAGGGATAGAGAGAGAAACATCGACCAGCTGCCTCCTGTATGCATCCAACCAGGGATCAAATCTGAAACCTTTTTGGTGCACAAGACAGGATGACAAGACAGGAAGTCCTTCGGCCTAAGCAGTGCTTCGTGTGTGCCCCAGCGGTGTCAGAGGCCAGAGCCCAGTCCTGCACACGGGGTCACAGGGAGAGGGCCCCTGACCTCGGAGCCAGCAGAACACGAGGGCGTGGGTTGGAACAGTGCTGCTTTTCTTACTGAGCCACCTGGCTGCGGCTGACCTTCTGCTCTTTAGCAAGGGAATGCTGTGTACGTATTAAACACGGTAATTCTTCCTTTTCCCCCATCTGGCTCTGATTAAATTGACAGTTTGTCTTATCACGAAGAAGACATATTTGCATCCCTGCTTTCTAAAACAGGTTTCTGCCCAGGATGCCAGAAATTGTAGAATCAAAGCTGACAGCTAATCACAGAACCCTTACTAAGCTGGATAGTGACAATTTTTTTTTCTCCTTGTCAATTTCCTACTGATTTTCTATTTCATTAACCTTATTATTTAATATGCCTGTTCTCATAAGCTGCTACTAAGAAAAGCATGGTTAGTATGTAAGTCTCATTAATATAGCAGGAAGCTTTTAATTCAACAGAGTGTAAGGTTTTGGTTTGTTTGGGTATAGGATACCTGACTGAACTCCTCATGCGGGCCTTCCCCAGGAGACACTGGACAGCGAGTCACACGTGCCTCTGATGCGTTTTATAAAAGAGGGAAGCCGCTAGATAGCTCTTAGTAAAAATAGCTTCCTTAGGAGTTAGCCAATGGACAAGGCCAAGTCCCCCAGGGTCTTTACCTCGCCTTTTTTCCTACTGGTTGAAGACACACAAGGGTGTGCTTTGGCCAAAGCATCTATAATAATAAAAGGGTAATATGCTGATTAGTCATCTTCTGGACATCATTCCAGACATCCTTCCTGACAAAGCCAGGGCCCAAGGGAAGCCAGCCTGGGTCCCGGTGCCTGCGGGTGGCTCAAGGGAAGCCCAGATCCCGGGAGCCAGAGGAAGGAAGGCCTATTCTTGCATGAATTTTTGTTAGTCTATACTAATAAAAGGATAATATGTAAATTGGTCACAATGCCCTCAGAGTAACAACTGAACAGCAGGCTGCATGGGACTGGCAGGGGTGTCAGTGAGTGACGAACAAACAACTGACTAGCAGGCTGTATGGGACGACCAGGTTGGCAGGGGAGTTAGCGAGGGATCAAAAGACTGCCCAGCAGGCTGCGTGGGGCGACCAGGCTGACGCGGGGGGAGGGGGAGGGGCAATGAAGTGACCAGGCCGGCAGAGGAAGCAACCAGGCCAGCAGGGGGAAGGCAGATGGGGGTGACCAGGCTAGGGGGGGGGGCAGTTGGGGGCAACTCATTCACCTGGATCCACAAGCAAGAACAGAGTTCCTAATGACTTAATTAATCCCACAAAGTTACTAATGACTTAATGAATCCCATGTTTAATGCACAATTCATGTCCTGAACAGGATTGCTGTCATGTTGATGAAGTCATTAGCAACTCAGTTCTTGGGTGGGTTGGGTTTCGCCCTCATCTTTGTTTACCGTGGTCTCCCAAGAGGTACCAACAAGGGTGAAGCAGACTGGGTTTCTCCAGCGAAAGCCCTGTCTTCAATACTGTCAGCCCCACTGCCTCCATTTCTCAGTGCCACCGATTTCTCCCTCTGACCATTCCGGTCAACATCCTCAAACAACTTAGCCCAAAGGCAAATTGAGAAATAGCGTGTGTCTAATTCAGGTTATTTAGCATCGTTCCAGGTCTGTTATTTTAACCAACCACAGAAGCAGGAAGCCATCACCGTTTCCAGTTTGAAGGGTTAAGCCTCTCTCTGGTCAGGGTTTAGGGAGACAAAAGGCTGCGCACTCCCTGCTGGAACTGGAGAGTCCTTCCGGCCTGGTGCCGGAAAGCTAACCGTGTGGAATGCCTTTGCCTTACGCTACTTCAAAGTCCTGCTTCAGAAACCTATCTACTCTTTCCCCGCTTCCCCCTTTCCCTCCCAACATCATAGGCTATGTCAGCCCCTGCTCCTCTCCCGCAGGTTGATAATCGTAAACAGACACCCCCCTGGGCTAGGTCAGGGGTACACCGCAGCTTTGAACACCCTTGTATTAAAAGTTCCAAAGAGTCAATCCTAAAACAACACTCAATGGTTTAAAAATATTTGACATACCATTTATAATTAAACTCCAAAGTCTCTAAAGTGACCCTAAGACTACAAATCTCTCCCTCGGGAGGGGAAAGCAGCTGTCTTTACACCGTCTGCTTAAAAGAAGGGCTCGGCAGGGGTGAGGCTCTGCGCGTTCAGCTGAGGAGCCAGGGACAAGCCCTGGAAGAGCCTTGTGTGTGTAACACAGGATGCAGGGAGGTGAGCTCAGTCACACAGGTGCCAGGAAGCACACGCTCCTCCTGTGTACAGTATCCCATCTTCATTACTCCTACACAGGAGAGTGCACTTAGGAATTCAAAGTATTATTTAAAAATATTAATCTAGGGCTTAATTTGTGTTTTTTTTTACAACTTACTGTTATGTCACATGTAATTTGAAGAAGCATCTGTCTTGCTAACCTAACCCCATGCCTTACACTGAGGCAAATTCTGACCCAAGTCTAGTACGTGCTCACAGCCTCCTTACCGTGCAACAGAGGCATGTGGCATGACTATCTCCACGAAGGGCAATCTGAGAAGGAAGATGTTATTTTAAAAGAAACACAGAATAGCTCTTGCTGGGATAAGTGCTATGTCATTCTTTTTGAAGTATTCTTTTGTTCCGCCTTCTTTTCTTTACTGGTAGCATTTTTAGTCTCCATATGAATTTTAAAGTCTTTAAAACTAATTATTCAAAATACACTTGCTACTTTTTCTTCTCGTACTTTTTGCTTGTACACTTTATTCATTCCTTCTCTGTCCGCTGGCTTTCTCTGTACAGATTCACAGAGAGGACAAAGGAGGGGTAGAAGTGCGGTGCACAGTGGGAGATGGACTCCAGCGTTCTAACCTCAGCCCAACCCAAGTTGTTCAAATCTCTTTCATTAAAGAAAGAAAAAAAGGTTAAAAACCAGGAGTACGCACAGCATACCTTATGAATAAGTGTATTCCTTACTTGTAGTAATAATTCGATCAATTTATTTTCTTATTTAAAAAAGCAAGAGAGTAACTGGTAGGTAATTCCCATCCCCTCATTATTCTCAAAGCGTGAGTGGAACAGC